ATGAATAATGATAGAGATTTTGATTTTGGTGAAGAAGGAAGCAAAAACTATGAATAATGATAGAGATTTTAATTTTGGTGTGTAATTTCTGGCTTTGGATGGTGGGTTAAATGGAGGAAAAAGAAAGGATTAGGTTGTAGATAATGCCACGTGGCATGCCGTCATTCATTAAAAATCTGATCGAAATCTATCCTCAAAGATTGTCTTCAGATTGTGACACGTGGCGCAACGTGGTTGGTTAAAATCTTATCGGAAATCTATCATCAACAATTCTGAAAAGGTAATGACACATGGCACAACGTCATTGGATAAATATTTTATCAAAATCTATTACCAAAAATTGTCTTCTCAGATAATGACACGTAGCGCAACGAGAACGATTAAAAATCTTATCCGAAATTACAAATAAAATTATTTTGTATTATTTATAAAATAAAAAATACTAATATTTTATTGCCTATTGCCATGGCTATTCAGTGTAGGGATGGAGATGCAAAAGGCATCTATTGTTCATTGGAGGCTATTCAATAGAGACTTGCCATAGGGGGCCTTTGCAACGATGGAGTTGCTCTTATTGGATCAATGTCTAATAACAGTTGGATGCATATTGTTTGAGCCTAAAATAAAAGCTTGGGCCGAGAATGGGCTAACCTGAGTTGAAAAGCCACAATCATCAGCCTAATAATGACCCATCAGGCTAGTGGGCTTTCAGCCCATGAAAGTGTTGATTCAACCGAGTCCTCATGGAAGTGGGATTGTGAAATGATTAAATTCATATGTAGCTCGGTTGAGTCCTTAGAGAACTAAAATTTTCAAGGATCACAATGGGTTCTGTTTAGATGCGAATTATTCTAAGAATTAGAGTTCATTTTTTATGAGATAAAGATGAATTAAACGCATAAAGGAACTAGGTTCAGAATCCTGGTATAAATCAAATAGGTCGAGACTAGATATAGGTGAGTTTCGGCTAAGGAAGGAATTAAAGGGGATGCATAAAGAATATTCAAGTAAATGCCGAGCGACACAATCCTATCATGACTCTACCTTGGCAAACCTGTTTATCGCGAAAACCATCCCTATAAATAGAAGAGATTCTGCAACATGAAAAGCTCCTTCAACTTTACAAACAACTGAAAAGCTCTACATGAAACCACTCTCACACCCCTGAGAAAAAATATTATCCTAAACCTCTCCGACACATCTTCAGTTTGGATAAGTAAATAGCAATGTGTTGACAACCAGCGACACCTTCAATTTGGATAAGTAAACAACACTGGTGTAGTATAATTAAGCAGAATAGGAGCTCCTTTAGTTTGGACAAGTAAACGACACTACTGGATTGGTTAATTATCCATCCAAATCTTGGCAAGTGAAGAATTCTTAACTCTTTAGGCCAAATAGTTCACTTTATTAGCTTCCCTAAAAAGTTAAGCGATTCATGATTGGTTACTCTCAAATGCATTTTACAGTTTGGCATTTTGATAGGAGCATATTTATGCGACTTTGTTATTTTATATCTTTACATTTACTTAGTTAATTTCCATTTATTTTGGTAATTTAAGTTATTTTCGTATTATTGTAGGTGCAGTTGGTAAAGATGACAATAAATGGCAAAATGGAGCAATTTGGAGTAGTTTTGGACTTGGATTGGATAGCATGCAAGGATAGCATATCGGCTGGACGTTTTTGGTGTTTAAATGGTGCTAGATATGTGCTAAAATCTAGAGAAATTAAAGTTGAGGCTTGGAAGGCAAGAAATTACACAAGAAAGAGGAATCCTAGTTGGAGAGGAATATTATCTTATCTTATCTTATCTTATCCAATCTTATCTTATCTTATCTCCAGCTACAAGGAGGAATTATAATTACATTTCAACACTCTCTACCTAATTCTTAGAGTCCTAAAATAATTCAAAACACCAAAACCTTTTCCTCCTTGGATTTAGCCATTCCCTCCCTATATATATATGAAATTCCTGGACGTTTTAGAGAGTGCCATGCCTACCATTCATCCATTGAGGTTGCTGGAGTTTTCAGAGTTCTTTCTATCTTTGTTTTAAGTTTTAATGTTTATTTTAGATTGCTTTTCAGTTATGATGAACATGTGTAACTAAGTTTCTTTTTAGCTAGAAGTGAATTCAAAGCCATGATCATATGTTTTATATGAATTGATTACATCCAGTTATTGTTTTATAAAACATGAATGCAATTTACTTATCTGCTTTATAGAGAACTATTTTTGTATGTTTATTAAGGGTGCACACTTAGTTTGCATGCAGGGATTTGATACTAGAATATAAGGGAATTTCATCTAATTGTTATGAACTTATATTTGTAAGTAGTAAAAGTCACTAGTCATGATTGAGTTAAGTAAATTCTTGGCAGGAATATCATGTTTTTCATAGTTACGAATGTTTTGTCAATGCTTATGATTTTAACAGAACTTAATGATTTTCGAGATGTATCTCTATCATGCTTTTCATAGTTATAGAACTTGAGAAGAATAATTTTGTTGTATCACTGAGTCCAATTCAATGAACTTAAGAAAATCCAAGAGTTAATTAGTGTTGTTCACAGTTAATTTGTGGCATTTTTATTCATGGTTTATAGGAATAATAACTAGAAATCGATTTGTATGCATATGCTTCATGTGTGGAGAAGAATCCTTTAGCTATCCTTTCATCCATATTTCATTCACAACTTAATTAACTTGTTGTCATTTACTATTGTTTTAATCAAATTCGTCCAAAATCCCAGTCATTGTTTTGTTGTTAGTTTAACTTAGTTTTCAGTTTTACAAGTTTAATTTGTGTTGATTAGCTTCCCTTCTAATCCTCGGAATAGAACAATCCTTACTTACTCGTACTACGATTGCATAATTTATAGGGTTTAATTTGTGTATAAGTTTCTACCACATCACATTTAGATGACCGAACCCCATTCACCATTAAAAAACATTCATCTCCTTTGAGTACATGTGCGCTTACAACCTGATACCGATTAGATGCACATATATTCTCACAAATATAATTGAGTCAGTCAAACCTAATATAGAAGATCCTGAACTTTGCAATGAAATAGACAACCTTGTCTTCAAGTTCTAGAACTCAACACAAAGATACATTTCTTCCTCGTAGTCACTTAAATGTAGAAGTCAACAACACATTTAACACAACTGCCACCACATCTATTCTACTCGCCCGGCCACGCTCGATTGCGAGTTAGAACGCCCGCATTCACAATGACGTAATTAACTCATAAGTTACTCGGCATGCGCATCATGTAGTCTTCAGGTCTACACATACCAAACTATTGTATTATTATTATTTTATTTTTTATCTAAGTTTCTATTACTTTTAGTAATAATGTAACTATTTTGCTCGTAAGAACAAAAAGAAGAAGATCTATTCTACACCCGATAAGTACCAATACGCAATGGTAGGGGAGTTGATACCATTTTATATGAGCGAATGCATATATATATTGTTCATCATTCAAAGGCCTTATTTGTAATAATTTTCCTTTATTCATTTTGTCTTCTTTATCTTTTTTTATAAACTTAGTCAATCTATGGATAAAATATGATAAAGGCCACGATGGTTGGATCATAGTTTTGATTGGCATCGAAAAAATTTAAAGTACAAATAAAACTTAAATACATTTGATGTAGAAGCAACCCAACCCTGAGTTAGTAGAATTAAAGAAGGAACGTTCTCACACAAACAGTAGAAGGAACAAATGGTTGGCGAAATTGATTACAATTATACCACTGATTTACTTGACTTGTTGCATATCCTCCTCCGTCTTCCAAACAACATCCTCCAGGCCTGTTGCGAGGTTCTTATAGAACTGCAAAATTCGAAAACTACAAGTTTCACCATCAAACTTACCTACTTAAGCCTATTCCTTTGTCAAGACTCAAGACATATGCTCTAATCACTAATTTTGTATATGGCATTGGCGTTGGTGCTGGCGTTGCCCACCATGCCGGTTAAACATACTATGAGACATCAAGAAAATTAAGCAAGGAGCGTTACCTTGTGGAACTCCAAGGTGTCCCCTTTAGCTTTTCGCACTTCAACCATGTGAAGAGAAGGTGCAACTTGAAATATCTGATCAACGCAGCAAGCAATGTGTTAAAAACAAAACATAAACGACACTGATCCAACTTTTTAAGCTCAATACAACTTTCCATGTACCTCTGTGGCAACATTAAGGTTTCCCTTTCTTCCAGCTTTCATATTTTCAAGCCTCAGCTGAGAGAACGAATATAAAATTTGTTATCTTCTTAACACACCATGCACGCACACCAAATACCTCAAATCCTTAAATTCCAACTTCTTCTCACCTTGTAGTTTTTTTTATGCACGTCAAAACCAAGAGGCTTAGCAGCTTCTTCAATTTTATGAATTATCTCATTGGCAGGGCATTTGGATGTGAACCTTGTTTCTCTCTTAAACCCCTGCAAATTTTGAACAAAACTGAAATTTTATTTTCCCATAGGACAAAACAATAGTAAATAATATCAGAAGAAAACAGATGCCTTTCATACACAAATGACATTTAAAAAACAAAATTATTTCAACATTTCACAATGCATGCAGTCCCCATAAAGTGTTACAGGCATAATACTATGCACAGCACATGTTGCTAATGAAAGCCAGCAAGCCCTCTAACGAAGCAAACCTGTTCTACATCAAACAAATTCCCAAGGTTGAGCCCCTTCGACATTGAAATTAACTCAAAAGCATTCATAGCTACTGGTTGTTCTTCCTTTTTTTCCGTCACATGGTGCTCCTGCCATGAAGCCAAGAACACGCATCAGACAACTTTTAACAATGCTTAGCAACCAAAGACATAAATAAAAATCTTAATACTGATTATGAAAAAAGAACTTGCACATACTTCTGAATCCTTAAAAACTGCTTCTACATCATCCAAGTTTGTATTTTCTTTCTCCTCAAACACAGGTGCCTTGTAATCCTTCTTGAACCATTCATCTTCCAAAATTTCAGCAATAGTGACACGCTGCCATGTAACAAACGAAATCATAGTCACCAACTAAATATTGGGTCGTAAGAGCATAGTCAAGGCAATTCAATACAAAGAATTGGTCTGTGATGAATTCAGTGTTCTGGAAATCACTTGAAGAGTGCCACGAAGCAGACACTTTTCTTGTCAAGAAAAAAGAAGTCGGGAAAGAATTAGCAGCATGTGGTCATATACATGCTCAATATACTCAAACAAGCAGTTTGATGCCTATGAATTATGAAGAAAAACCTTGTCCTGCTTTGAGCACTACCTCAGCAATCTTCGTTTTGCTTTTTATCATGCCTCACCAGTATAAACATCTAATACATAAAAGATAAAATTATCTGGAATTCTTTAATGACATGTTTGGATGAGGAACTTCTAAATTCCATCGGACCTAAGGTTAAGGTTGGTAGGAATGCTCTACAAAAATTTGTTAAGAGGGACTTCAAAATGACTAGATGTAATACATTTGAGAGAACTTTAAAATGACACCTTGAAAGTTCTTTGTTTAGTGTCTTTGTCGTACATTTTGAGTAGTTCCAACTGTTGAAATGCTCTATGGGTAGCTCTAGGAAAACCTGAAGAAAACCAGATAGGGTCCACCATTTCCCACTCAAGCAGGGCCTATGCAGACTAAAATCATCTAACTATAACTTTATTTACGATAACAATCGCAAAACACTTTCAAATGATGTTACTGACCCGGAGAGAGAAATCAGACAATGAAAATAGAAAACATTTAGTGGCGAATTAACAATTCACAGCATTGACCTCATTATCCCATAAGCTACAACATATTAACTTGTCAAAGCATAAGAACGTCAGCTGTTATGTTATTGTCATATGCTAGTAAAAATGTCAACAAGGCAGTTTTGTTCAATGTGTGCAAACCCGGGGAAGTTTGTCAATGCTAACTAAATTAGTAAGTATAGACTTTGCTACCTCACATATCTTCGGCAGGTTCCTTCCAAATTTTTTAATGCACTATACACATAGCAGTTTTAGGTGGAACTTTGGTTAACCCTTTTATCTTGTATTCAACTAATATTAAATTGTGCTTATGTCGCAACTGTGGTTCTTTTTGTCCCATATGAAGTTTTTGTTGGATTTTTCCAGCCCATGACAAGTTGTCCAAAGTCTATGAGGAATTATTGTCTTAGAGGGTTAAATTGTTTTCTTTTCCCAATTGGATTGGTTTTCCCAATTGGAGTTGGTTTCTCAATTGGAGAAGGATTGATAACTAGATTCAATTAGGATTAGTAATCATTATTGAAGAAGACCTTTATTATGTCTATAAAGGAGCTATTGCACTATTTTTGAATTGGAGCAAAACAATAAGTTGTATACCACTCTAGAGTTAGAGTGAGAATATTAAAAGGGCAATGTGTGAGCAACAGAACAGAAAAGAGAAGAATGTATTTCATATTCTTATTCTTTTAGATTTTTTTTTCATCGAGTTCTTAATTCTAGAGACTTAGCAAGATTATTCAGTTGTACTCATTGATATAATGAAAGATTGTTGTTGCAGCCCCATGGGACTGGTTTTCCCAATTGAAGAAGACTTTAAACGCGATATCCACAATAGTTTTGCATAACATTGATGCTTCTACCCACAATGGATAATGGCCATCTTAATTTTACGAATCACCGCACATTAAATATATGGCAAAATTATACATGAAGTACGCAACACTATATTGTATGACCCTCTTAAGCACCATGACAATTAGTTTTGACCTTCTCATCGCATCTCACTTTTTATATTCCATCTAACATTATGTTTTAAAATGAATATGAATCACCACCATGTGTAAGTTACGAAAAGTGGAGCTATATTATCAAATATAACAAATAGCAGAAAGGCCACAATCTTATCAACAGAATGCGCATAAACCACTTACAGTCATAGGGTTAGGATCCAAAATTCGAGCTATTAATTTCATGGCACCAAAAGAGAGCCACGGGGGACAAGTAAACTCAGCTGCCGAGATCTGCATACATAGCAAAAGAAGATAATAAACTGAATATAAACAACGATATGTAGTTGCTATACAGAATCAGTAAAATGCTCACTTTTTTATACAGGTTCAGAAGATTTGAATCATCAAAAGGCAAGTAACCTGCAAGCAATACAAAGAGTATCACTCCACATGACCACAAGTCCGCAGTTGCCCCATCATAGCCTCTATCGTTAAGGACCTAAGCTCACAGGAGTACATTTTTGCATGATTAAGGAACAACGGTGTAGAAAGATAAATATATATAATGTGGAAGAAGATTGGAATGAATACTTATCCATACCTCAGGAGCAACATAATTTGGAGTTCCACAGGTAGTGTGAAGTAACCCATCATCCTGCCAATGCATCACAGTAAGAAACAAATTCTGAATATTTAAGATGTATCATCTCAATCCCAAATGCACCAATTACTAGAACAAGCATCACAGATTGCAGTGTTGATGTAAATGATAAATGAGGAAGAGACTAAATTCCATATAACTCCTATCATATAAATGTGCTAACAATTTTATTAATTTCTAGAGATTTGACACCTGCTTCTGCAAATAGTTACTTAAAGATATTTATGCCGACCATCCAGACAACAAAACTAACATCAATAAGATAAAATGATAGTTATATATGAATGATGAAAGAAAGTTAATTGCAGATGGCCTAATATCATTTATACCCTGACTTGTTGGGATAGTGCGCTCAATCCGAAATCAGAAACTTTAAGGTTCCCATATGCATCCAATAGCAAATTTTCTGGCTGCAAGAAAAGCAATGAAAATGAAAATTTATTACCATTTTACTGTATTTATATCTGTGATATGCACGTTTACTAAGCTTAAGTACCTTGAGATCTCTATGATAGACGCCTCTGCTATGGCAGTAATCAACTGCATTAATAAGCTGTTGAAAATATCTCCGTGCTTCATCTTCTTTCATTCGTCCATTGTTTACCTTCATATCAAAAGAAGTACTCGTGAGAAAATATGAACTCTCTCCCAAATAATCAGCGGAGCTTGAATTTGATTGGGTCAACAGATCCATTTACACAAATGAGTGAGCAAGGCAACTTGGTAATTGAAGAGAATTTAGGCTAAACGGGAATGTTAGACTGCAGTATTAATTACAGTATGTGATTTATTTTTGTAAATTGATAATAAACCATTTATAGAATACAACTGGAAGAAAAATGAAGATACTAACAATTTTGTCAAAGAGCTCCCCTCCAGTTACGAACTCCATAACTATAAATATCTTTGTCTTACTCCCCATTACCTGAAAATACACAAAATTATTAATACAGTTGCATCAAAATGTAGCGCCACTTTTACTGGTAGTAAATGGATTCATCTCTCCCTGACAGGACACTTGTATTTGCTCCATATTGACATGAGAGTATTTAACACTCTACCCATTAAAGATTAATACATGCAATGGAAATTGGTGACTAAAGTCTTGTTAATAATCTCAGCTGTAAATTATTAACAACTTCTTATAAAGGTACCCGCAACGTGATGTAAGAGGATATAGTTTTAAACATTATAGATCATGAACCATAAATAAGAAAGAATAGGCTTCCCTAATAAACTTCAGAACCAATCAACTACCAAAAAGTACAATGAACCAGAAAAGGAATTAAAAACTTAAATATGACACTGAAATTGAAATGTCACAGTTGAAAATAAATTCTGATTGGATTAGATTTTTAACAACATGCAAGCATCCTTTAAGGCACGTGTTGAAGGGATAGTGTAGCAACTTTAGGGAAAAAACAGAAAAAAGTTGGCCATATTCCCACATTAAATTGTGAACATCCATATACCAAGAAGACCTACTTCAGATAACCTGCAAGGTGAATATAGAAAGCAAACAGACCACATGCTCATGCAAGTAGAAGTAGAAATGCATATATACAGATAGAGATTGAGAGAGACCTCATACAACTGAACAACATTTGGATGCTTAATCAGCTTCATTGTTTCTATTTCCCGCTTGATCTGCACAAATATGAAAAATAACACACTTAAAAGGACCTTGTTTAAACTCACTCTATTTCCTAGACTGAAGCTACATAAAAGTTTCTTTGGGGAGTTGTCTAGAGTGGTTTTGAGGATAGGAAGCAAGAATCCATATAAACCGATAAATAACATGAAAAAAAAATAAAAAGCACAAGACGGAGAACGAAGAGAAAGCGCAAAGCAAACAATGGAGCAAGTAATGTCAAGTAATGAGACCTGTTCTGCCATCTTGTGTTTCAGAACCTTCTCTTTGTCAAGAATTTTGAGAGCCACAGGCTCCCCAGTCTCAGAATTTCTAGCAAACTTGACTTTTGCAAATGTACCCTCACCGATTGTCCTTCCAATCTCGTATTTACCAACCCGACGCTTGATTTTCTGTTGATTCATTCTTGACTTAGTGATTCAACGTGAGGGTTCCTGAGAAAACTTGCGTGAAAGATAGATAATCAGCAAAAGGAAGGGCCCCAGAAAATATGAGTGAATTTTTTTGTGACACTGTAATGAAATGAACAAGGCGAGGAGCAGAAACACTAGTTGAGATCCAAATCCTGATCCGAATTCTGGTAAATTTAGATTGAAAAACCAAACCATGCAAACAAGAATTCAGACAAGAATATTACTGTCCACAAAAATCACAAAGAAAACAATCAATCAATCGAAGCATCCAATTCCACTACAAACCCTAAATTAATTAAATTAATTCAAACATGGAGTTGCAGCAGCAGAAACACAAGCCCAGTACCGGAAACACAAACAAGGCACCCAAATTGCAAAAACCGGTGCAAACACAGACAGTAAAATCTTCAATTTCTTCCGGAGCAGCTGACAGACTGAGCGATTGTATTATTTATGCATCTATGACGTCAACCAACAACCACAATTCATCAAATATATATTTAATAAATTAATAATACAAGGAAAATGAATTAGACGAAGAAATAAATAATAATAATTATCTTTATTATTAAAGAATATAATAGAATAATCATCACGTTCCCGTTCACGTGGATGGTCATATTATTATTGTGATGAAAGACGATAAAAAAGTCGAAAAGAAAGAGAGAGGGAGACACTGATTCAATACATACTTGAACAGGTTATGAGCACAATCAATCCGCCGCCGCCGCCGCCGCCTCCGCCGACTGGATTTCCGTCCGTCCTTCCTTCCTTCCTCCTCGGCTGCCTGGAAATGCAATCACTTCACTTTTCACTTCAGTACCAGACAACTCAATTACTAGTAGGCTCACCAGACTAGACTCGATTCCTTCTCTCTTCTATCACTTTTCTGTTTTCTTTTTTTTTTTTCTTTTCACTTATCTTTATATTTTTGTGTATATATTATAAAATAAACTATATATTATATTTAATGAGGAAAATGAATAATTGCGTCCTGGATGGGACCAAGAACAGGTCGTGGTCCATGTTGTGCGGTGTTGTACACCACAGTACAGCTTGCCTTCGCATTCTATCCGACTATCGACTATTGTATATAATATATGTTGTGGTTTTTATTCGAGTTTAATTTTAAAAGAAAAAAAATCAAAACAATATATAATTGTACAATGTACGATGAACAGAGGTAAGGATCATAGAAATTATGGATGGAGTCAATAAAGGCCCATTGGAAATAGATGCCCTCACTCAATTTATTCGTTTGTTAAGTTGAAGACTACAATTTATATATATATATATATATATATACACACACACACGCATTATCTTTGAAAAAAAATATATATATGTATTCTAATATCAAATATATCTTCGTACTACTTCTACTTTATATTAAATATTATATTAGCAAAATCATTTTTATTCTGTCATTCAAACTAGAAAATTCTCTCCTGCCTTTCATGTATTAATATTTTCTCATCAATTTGTCACTTTCCACTATTAAATTGAAATTTTTGTAAAATATTATCATTTAAAATCATTTTTATTATTATATTGGATATAAGTTATACTATGATAAGATTTTCTTAGTTATTTTTTGGGAGTGCCCCAACTAAAAAAAATTTATAATTTCACTCTTAATACAAATTTTCTTTATAAGAATCCAGATGAGATCTAAATCCGCTTTCTTTGTTTTTTTGGTTGAAATCCGCTTTGTTTGTTGTGGAGCTCTCTCTCTTGATGGAGGATAGACTTGTACAGTCATCGGGGCCAATACCAACCCAAACCTGTTAAATACCCTTCTCTCTTTCTTCGTTGAAGTTGAAGTTGACGTCTACGTCATCACATCGGCTACTTTATTATTATTTTTTTTTTTTTATGCACTTGTGTTCCGTTTCTTCTTTCCTCTCTTTAGATATTTTTTTTCCATGCCGCTTTACTCTTCATTCATCAAAACTACCCGATCAAAAAATCATTTTTCTACACTTATCTGCGACAACAGTATAAATTAGTTTAGGGCTTTATTTTTAACTACACTTCTTGAAAGTTGATTTTAATTTAATTTTGTGCTTTGTAATTCAAAAGTTATTACTTCATTTCTTGAAACTCAAAACTCGTTCCACTTTATTATGTTTATGTTTCTTCAATCAAATAACGTTAAAGTTAAGGTCATGTTTAGTATCCTCTTTGAAATTTTTTATCATTTCTCAAAATATTTCTTGAAAACAATTTTTTTTAAGACTCAAAAAGGTGATTGCCTTGCGATTTAAAATTTTTAAATCATATGACTTAAACTAGACAAATATATCTAAAAAGAGGGGGCCGCAAGAGAGGGTGGGGAAGAGGAAAGAGGAGGAAAGAAAGTAAGAGATGATTGAAGGAAAGAAAAAGAAAGGATAGGATTGGACAAGATAGAGGGGAAGAGGAGTGAGAGAAAGAACCGAGAGAATGAAGATGGTGGATTGGAGGAGAGACAAAAAAGGTAAAAAAAAAAGAGGAAAGAGAAAGAAGAAGAAGAGAGAGAGAGAGAGAGAGAGAGAGAGAGATAGATTTGGAGTGGGAGGGGAGGAGGGAGAGAAAAGAAATGAGTAAGTTTAAGTTTAAAAACTCTAAAAACTCACTTTTATGTTTTTAGATAATAGACTATATTTTTTATTTAGTCTTGAGTTCAGTTTTTTAAAATAGTCATACCAAACAAGTTTTTAAGGCCTAAAACTTGAAAATTGTTTTTAAGTTTAAAAAGTTGAATTCAAGTAAAGTACCAAACATGCCCTAATATTTTGATCTCATTTGTCCCTTGAAACTTGGTTTTGATCCCACTTTACCCCTAAAACTCATTTAGAATCTGTTATTATATGTTTGCTCTAGTTTTTGTTGTTTTTTATGTTGAAACTGTTTTTCTTTGTCCATGGGCAATAAGTTTCGATGTATTGGGAGTATCCGTATTCATAAAAGCTTTACTTTTCATGCTTATCCTAATTGTTGGTTCAATTTATGCATGGCCAAAATGAGCATTGGAATAGTCTTAACTCTTAAATAGTCATTAAACAACAAAAATAAAGATTGAGATAGTTATGACTTCCAGTATTGAATTTCCTTACATGATGGAACAACCCAAAATTCAATTATTTCAACTACATCAAGTGATCTTTCAAATTGGTCAAGACTCTCCAATTTATAAGCGTTACTTTACTTCTTGAAATTCAACATACACTCCACTTTTACTTGTGCACTTTCTCTCTCTTCTTCCTGAATTCAAAAGTCGCCCTCTTTAACATATGTGGGACCCACCACCAATAAGATTATGACACATACCAATGAATTTGATTATAAATCTCCATTATGGGTTAATATTCAACAATAAAAAAAATATTAATTTAAAAGAAAAATTGGAGTTCTTTTTTGTTGTGCTTGAGTTGCAAAGAGGAAAAAAAAATAAAAAAAAATAAAAAGAAACTGATTAGCCAGGTGCACCAAAATTAAACAAATTCCCATTGTTCATATTTTTTAATTTTATGAGAATAATCCCCATTGTTGAGTTCAATAAATATGAACATATTTGCTTATAAACAAAACAAAAAATGGAATCCCGAAAGTGCTCCTTCGGGGTCTGTCTCAACTTTTTTGTTGAAGTTAGGAAAATAATACCCTATAAAAGGCTGAGAAAAAACTGAAAACCTAGTCATACCTTTAGAGTTGTAATATTGGTTCTCAATGTCGACATCTTGTTCCTCAGGCTCGCTCTTCATCTGAGTACTCGAATCCGTAATCCTCCATATCAGCATCTGCATACAAAAACACATAAACAAGACGCAATGCCATTATACATAGAGAATGCGGCATTCACTCACTTCCGTCAATACTCTTTAAAAACCTTAATCACAAGAACGACGTTTGTGATGAAAGAGAGAGATACCGGAGGCCATGACTGATCAGAACCAAGATGGAATTTTGAGTTTTCAAAGCATTCAGGCTTCGGGAGCGACTGAAATCAGAGCAGAGTAGAGAGAGATCGAGGAGAAAGAGGGTTCGTTCTTCGCATTAGGGCATTCCGACCAATATCAATGGGTGATTTTTCGAAACTAAATAAATAAGTGATTTTAATTTTTTTTAATTTTTTTGTTGGTAGGTTAACTATCAAAATTGAAAGAAAAAAATAAAACCCATCGAAATAGAAAATGACTCCTAAATTATCGGGGAAGAGGACATCGCTCTATGTTGAATTGAGAAATCCATTCAAAGGTAATGCTGACAAATTAGGACCTTTTGACTTTTAAAATGTATTTAGAAAGAAATTATGAGGAGGCGACTAACCAAAATGATGAATTTCCCTAACTCTTCTTTATTCGGCTCATAATCGTAGTAATGCCTATGGACTAGATATTGATGGCATTTTGCAAATCCAACATAAAACTGTTTATACGAAAATGTTTGGGCATTCATAATATCCTTTTAGGGCTCTTTATTTGCCCTTTACTAGACTGGATTGGTTTAATTAGAATTACTAGTCCGTGTTTGGTACGAGCAAAGACTAACTTTAATGAGACTAAATCAGACTCATATGGACTAAGTGCTTCATAGGTGGTCTTAACGAGACCTCCTGAAAGTATGAGATTGCTAATCCTGTCTCCAAACATTTTTTATGTTAGGCTGGTATCGCCGACATTAATGGAGTTGAGAGCAGCATTGACAAACCTGTAAGTTTTTCGGTTTTAAACTCTTAAGGCTGGTTTGGAGTTGTGGTGCTTCTAAAAAAAGAAGCTTATGAAAAACTTGGAACACCAAATGTGTTTAGTAAAACAAAAAAAAAAAAAAAAAGTTTTTAAAAAACTGCTCTCAATATCAATAGAAAGCAGGAATATGGTCTACCATAGTTTTTTAAAAAACTACTTTTTTTCAAAGCATAACAAACAGTGCCCATTTAATTTAATTTTTAAATGATAAGTATACACCCGTATATTTTACAAAATTACAATCTTTGTCGCTACATTATTCTCTTTGACAATTATTATATCACATTCAAAACCATATTACTTTTAATCATTTAACATATTTACAGCAGTTTTATATAAAAGTTTACCAAGCTCAAACAATTTTTTTTTTTTTGTTAAAAGTACTTTTACAAAAGAAGTTTACCAGACACTTAACAATTTTATTTTACAACTGTTTATTCTCATAACGCAACAGATGCAGATTTTTCTAAAAGCCTAAACAATGGTTAAGCAGAGAGAGAGTTGGATAAAAGGTGAACAGAGAAAGGAGGAGTAGGCATTGTTAAGGGTGGGCATGATGCGGTTCCACTCCTAAACCAAACCCAGAACTGAAAAATATTAACGGTTCGGTTCGGTTTCGCTTAAATTTATTACTAGAACTTTACGGTTCGGTCTACACCGGTTCTAATTCAGTTCTTGCCATTTTATGGTTCTGAATACTAAATTATTTGAATATCAAATCATCATGCATTCAAATACATCTTCTAAAATTGATTATATAAAGTTACATATAAAACATATCCTTTTTAATGCAAATGTCTTTGGTCGGTGGCACCAGGTCAACAAAAAAAAGACAATTAAAAGAAATATGCATTGGTCAGTCAACAAACAAAAAAAAATCAAGAACTCAAGTAGCATTGATCTCCTGATGTGGGCATTGTCCTTAACAACCCATGTAATTTTGATTGTCCTTAACGTTATGTTATTGATAGGAGCATATTTATGCGAATTAGTTAGCTTGTTTTCTTGCATTTACATAGTTACTTTCCATTTATTATAGTGTTTTAAGTTATTTTCGTGTGTTTGTAGGTCCTAATGGCAAAGTTGGCAAGAAAGTGCAATTTGGAGCATTTAGAGCAGTTTTGGGCTTGGAATGGATAGCACATGCATGGAGTAAGGTGGATGAACGAATTTGAAGATCAAGAGAGGCTAAGAATGTGCTTAATATCTAGAGAAACAAATTTGGAAGCATTGAAGATAAGGAATCAGCTACAAAGAAGGAACATTATCCAAACAACCTTATCTTATCTAAATCTTATTCAACCTTATCTTATCTTATCCTATCCTAATCTTTTCCTACCTTAATTCCAGCTGCAAAGAGGAGTCTTTTTTACATTAAATCACCTAAATATCAGGTTCTAGAAGCCCTATTTTCGTGCCCTAAGTTTATGCCACATGTAACCCTTCTAGAAGTTCTAGAATCTGCCACAAGAACCATTCCTTGTCCTCCCTGGAATCTGATTGAAATGACCTTGTTCTTTGGTGATTTGGAGTCCTAATTCCTCTCCTTTCAGCACAATTTCATGCCTTCCCTTCACCCTATAAATACATGATGCTGTAGCACTCATAATCACCACCCTCTACCACAATTTCACATCACATCATCCACCACACCTCAAGAGCCTAAATTTAGAAAATTCCCTCTAGTGCCGCAGCTTTGCAAGGAGAAAGGATAGGAGAGTTTAGCCGTGCCATCACATTCAAGTTTGGATTGCTGGAACGTCCTATGTGTATTTTATCTTTTGCTTTCAATGTTTAATTTAAGTTATCTTTGTTTAAGTGCGAACATGAGGAACTAATTTCTTTTTAGCTAAAGGTGAATTCAAAGCCATGAACATATATGTGATAAGAATTGATTTCCTCCAGTTATTGTTTCGTAAAACATGAATGCGATTTACTACTATCTGTTTGATTGATAACTTATTCTTGTATGTTGATTAAGGGTGCACACTTAGTTTGCATGCATGAATTTGATGCTAGAGTATAAGGGAGTTTCACCTAATCGTTATGAACTTATATTTACAAGTAGTGGAAGTCACTAGTCATTATTGTGTTAAGTAAATCCTTGATATGAGTATCATGCTTTTCATAGTTACGAATGCCTCGTCAATGCTTATGGTTTTCAAAGAACTTAATGACCTTTGATATGTCTTTCTATCATGCTTTTCATAGGTAGGGAACTTGATAAGGATAATTTGGTTGTGATGCGTATTCGATCCAATTCAATGAATTTAGGAAAATCTGAAAGATAACTTGTGCTTTTCACGATTAATTTGGGCATTGTCATTCATGGTTTAAAGGAATAATAACTGGGAATCGATTTGTGTTGCATGTGTCATGTGTGGAGAAGGATCCTCTAGCTAGCCATTCACCCATTTAAACATCCAATTTCGTCCAAATTGTTTAGAGTATTTAAATCTATTTGTTTTTACTTTAATTTCATCCAAATCAATCCCCCCCTCTTTAATTAAGTGTTTTAGATTAGTTAGAAACATGTTCAAATTTGTCCAATTTAGTATTTTGAGTCTTTTTAGTTAAAATTCGTCCAAATTACTCCTTAGGTCCTGTTTTGAGTTAATTTAACTTAGTTTGTGTGTTTTGAGTCTATTTAGCTTGTTTTAAGTTGTTAGAGTCTAGTTTTTTGTTTTTGAGTCTAGTTTAGTGTGTTAGAGTTTAATTTGAGTAGATTAGCATCCCTTCTAATCCCCGGCCTATAACGATCCCTACTTATACATACTACAATTATAGGGTTTAATTTGTGTGTTAGAATACATCACACTAGTTATGAACGTTGGTTTATAAAATCCCAACACATGAAAACCCAAACCCACTCGCATGGTATTAAAACAACTTAGAAGTGCGGTCTAGTGATATTCTTCTTCACTTATAAGTGAGAGAACTTAGGTTCAATTCTTTCCAAAAGTGAATTTCAATCATATTATTGCTAGCCCAATGTAAGACATAGCCCACTCCCCTACCCCTTGTTGTAGATAATAATTTTTGTTAAAAAAATCCTAATTGAATATACCTAAATTTTTAACTATTTAATAAAGGGCAAATTACAGTGTACCCTCAGGTTTGGGTGCAAATACAACTTCCTCCTTTATCTCTAAAACATTTCAAGTTCATACATTTACTTGTAATTTTTTAATATCATACAACTATCATATTTTGTCAAATTAACCGTTAATCAATCCTTGTCTTCATTCCTTTGGAGCCTCTTTTTTACCTAGTCAATTAGACTATGAATTTTTTATAGAAAAATTTTATTTGAACCACACCAAACTTAAACTTTAAATATAAAATGTCATTATTATCCTATAGCATAATTACTATTAAGTACAAGATACAATTAACAATAAAAATAAGATTTATCAAAAAACCTACATCTAATAATCAAACCCTAACAAAAACTGACACCACACAGTACAAATCATGTTATTAAAAATTTGATCAGCAATATAGTTTTTATGTTTATGTTCATGCTTCTTTCTCTTACACAAAAAATGACAATATCCAAATGAATAAGAAGTTTTCTCACCAAATAGAGTTGCTCTTAACTAGATTTTCTATCTTCCTTCGAAGTGCTTGTCATGTATTTTTGTTACTTCTCAGTTTTTTTTTTTATTTCAAACAGGTACAATTTGTTTAACTTATTGAGTTTTTTTTTTTATTCAATCTTTCATAGTTTTAGTCCAAATTGCATTTAATTTTTATGATTTCAAAACCTCTCACAGCATAATAGAAGAAGAACAATCTTTGCAACTTATTTCTCCAGAACTCATGATTCAAGACCAGAATGTTAGAAATGCTACTTCTCTTCTACCTCTTATTATTTTGCTTCATGCTATTGCAGATTACTTCATGCCATCAGATTTCAAGTATACGTTTTCCCATAAATGAATTATTTGATTGCCTACGGTTATTTCTTAATGGAAAGTGCAAATATATTTACTTGGGTGCAAAGCAACCTAGAATTTATCGAGAGCAACGTTGTAGAGGATGATGGAAACTCTATAAAAAACAACTGTTGGAAGGAGGTAACGTCTGAGAAGAGAATGTTTTGCTTTTGGTTTTTTATTATCAAATGGGTGTAAAGATAAATAACATATTGAATTGAGTTTGTGAGGGTAGTTTAAGTAGTAAATTTAGGTTTAAAGAGATATTAATAGTTTAATTAAAAATAACTAGCATTTGCCTACACACTTTGTGTGTATGAACACATTTTCTAGAAAATGAGAAAGGAGAGAGGGGGAGAGAGAGAGAGAATGTGAGGTTTTTGTTTTTGGTTTTTATTTTATTTTATTTTTTTTAATTTTAAATAGTAGAGATATTTTAACATCACATGTACGTGAGGTTTCAATAAAAAACAGTAAAATTTGGACATGTGAAATTACATTATTGCCCATAATTTTTTTTTGTGTGATAGAAGACTAAGTTGTCTTTTCACCCTCTTTTAGTTGATAAAGAGAGTTTCATTAATTAATAGAGATAATAGAGATATGAGTGCAAATAATAAGTTGAGTATAGAAAGAAGTTATATGGGTTAAAATAAAATTTTCCTTTATGGTATTAATGAATTTTAGGGATTTAGGGGTCCAAGAAATTAGGGTTTTGATTTGATATCAGATAATCTGCTGCTTGGAGTTGGAGGCCATGGCAATTGACATCTTTAAATTCTGGAGGAGGAGTTTGTTCTTTTTATTTTTCTTGTGCAAGTATGAATTTTTCTTGCTCAATTTCAATGCGTATGAATGAAATGCACGTGTGATCGTCGAGTTTCGTTTATAGAATGTCTATTTGAATGTGTTTTGTAGTTCAAGTTTGAAGTTTGAAGTTTTAAATCCAGAGTGCTTTTAACATGAAACACATGCTCTGCATCTTCAAAACCAGATTCATATGGAGATGGATGTGGGACCAATATTATTATTATTATTATCTTTAAAAATAACACAGCACGTAATACTTTTCCACACAAGTGATTCATCCGGCCAATATTTTCTGAATTCTTCCATTGACTAAGCAGATACTCGTACATCTTAGTTTCAAAGTGTCATAAATGTCAAATGTCAAATGTCAATGGAAGAACTTTCCTCTCTCTCTCTCTCTTGCCTGCACATTTCTTTCTTTCCCTTCCTTATTTGCCAGCCCTCCTCCTCCTTACCCTGCTGGATGCCTGCTGCTGCTACAAGTAGACGTACATATTTGATTGATGTATTGTTCTAGCTTAATCGATGATGGGAAACTACTGCAGAAAATCTGCCAAGTGCGCTCATGCTTCTTCCATCAACTTCTCTGGTACCCTACTACTCTACAGCTACAAACTATAACAGTATCTTTATGCCATGCCGCTAACTTCTCTTATTTTCTTGGGTGTTTTTCTGTTTGCTTGCTTCCCTCTTCTTCCTTCCAATCTGGATTTACAATTTTCAAGAGATCCTAGGTATCATCTCTATAAATTTCAAGAAACCTATACGCATCATGTGTTGGAATGCACTTTTAGCTCAAATGGTTAGGATTATAAAATAAAATGGGTTTTTAAAGATTTTCTTTCCTTCTTTTCTTGTATAAAGATGATCTTTTTACCATGCTTATGAATCTAATGGCTGTACCGGCACAGCACGGCAGCATCTATACTGTTTTCTGTGTTTTTCTTTTTAAAGTATTTAAGATAATGTGATACAGCCGTGTTTGTATTATTTTAGGGGAATGTGAAACATTCTTTGACCTTGTCATTTGGACATTCTCCCCTGAGTCCCCTCTCCCTCTTCTCATGTTTGTAAAAGAAAGGACACATGGCATGAGGAGGTTAGAGAGAAAGTTGCTAGCATTCCCCAAAGAGAACTGATTTGGGCACACCTTTTCTCCTTCTACACACCCCTGTTTTTTTGTTTAATATGTTTATAGGCCGTGCAGGTGGAGAAAAAAGGAGTGTGGAAGTCACTTCCCTTCCCCAAACAATTAGACCCATGACAAACGTTATCGACGCTACATTTCTCTTTGTTATATTACCGTATAACTAATAAATGCTTTAACCACCCTATCAAGAAATGTTTCAAGGGAGCCATGGCTTCAATTGATCATATTATCCTTATCTTTTTATACATTTCTCTATTCTTATTTCCTTCTTCTCTGTTATAGTCCCATCTCCTATTAGTTAAGGCCAGTCTGGGATTCTTTTATTCTTCTAAGGCCGAGAGGGGTCTGTTATCGAGCCATTCGGGCCTATCAGGTCTGGCCAATAATCATTCCTCTTTATGAGATGTCCAAGTGAGATTATTTTGTACTTTTCCTGGGTATCTTGAACATATGATCTCATCGTCTGGTCCTACAAATCATGGTCTCATAGTCTTAATTACCAACTAATCAGCACTGATCGTTTCTGATGGCAGTACCGAAAAGGCCTTGACATGTGTTGATGTGTGTAGTCTAAGCTCTTATACGTATCTTTTTTCTTGATAATTGTAGTTTCAGTAATCTTTAAATGTTCTGCATATTGTCTGTTTTTGTTTGGACTGCAGCCTGAAGAGCTTATTAATATTCATATGGGTGCACTTCACTATGGTCATTTGTCTATTCATTTGTTATTTTTCATGCAAAGAAATTTGAAGGTGATATTTTTGTAGCTTTCTTACCTCTTTCACCTTTTAGGAAGTACAAAGTCTAATGGCAAGCAACAGATGGATAGTACCTCTTGCTCGCAGCAGTCAACGTCTGGGAATTTGAATAAAGCTTTAGTAGCATCCAAAGCTGATATATCTGTCCCTACCAACCTCAAGTCCTTCAGTTTCAGTGATCTCAAAAATGCTACTAGGAACTTCCGCCCAGAGAGTCTGCTCGGAGAGGGAGGGTTTGGGTGGGTATATAAAGGATGGATTGATGCAAACACATTAGCTCCCACTAAACCTGGAACTGGGTTAGTGGTGGCCATCAAGAGGCTCAAGCGAGAAAGCTTTCAAGGCCACAAGGAATGGCTGGTATGTACAACCAGGACCTTTTTTTTGTCTTGTTTTCATTTTGACCTTTTTTTTTGGTAATTATTTTCATTTTGATCTTGCTATTCCTCATCTGAAGCTCAAATCTTTTTTTCAACCATTTAGGCGGAAGTGAACTATCTTGGTCAGCTTCGCCATGAAAATCTTGTGAAACTCATAGGGTATTGCTCAGAATCTGACAACAGACTTCTGGTTTATGAGTTCATGCCAAGGGGAAGTTTGGAGAATCATTTGTTTAGAAGTGAGTACGAGTATCCTTTTCCCCTATGTATTTCAAATTTTCAATTATTCATGTTGTTTCTTCTTACCAATTTGCAAGTAAGTGTGTTACTTGGTAATCGTACTTATAGATAGATATATTTATTAATTTGTTACCTGTTTAAAATTTAATTATTGTTTCAAACAAATGATCGCAATAATTAACCAGGAAAAGGACTAAAATTTTAGTGTTGTAAGATGTTGAATTTGGATCGATATCAATTGACGATGGCTGCTACTACTGCCAGGTAGCTTATACTATTTTAAATTAGATGCCCCGCTGCTTATGATTGTGAAATACTGAAATCTTAATTTAACCTGCACTCAACTAACTCAGCATTTTGTGAATCGGTCTTCCATTAATAACTTTGAGCTTTCTCTGGTATTATGTTGTTTCAAATGTTTTTTTTTAAGAACGTATACTGAATCTCGATTTAACATCCATCCAGTTAACTCTTGAGTTTTAATAACAAAAATAGTGGAAGTTTTCACTGGATTTGTTGCATATAGCGGGGTAGCATCCTTTGTGAAGAAAATAGTACATCCGGAACATATTTATTTACTTTGATGACATATTTATGGAAGTTCTTAGGCTGATTAGGTGTCCTGCTGTCCATTGTTTAACCATGACCATGTAATGGGTAGAACTCGGGAACTTGTTTGCTGACCATATTGATTGGTAGCCACAGTAAGGAGACAATTTTTTTGGTTTCTTAGTGATAGAAAATGCAGATATTTTGATCTATTTTTTGGTTTCTTAGTCATGGGACTTGTGTGGCAATTGGACTGATGTGCTTTTAGCATCTAGGATGGTTAGATAATCCGCATATTAGCGTTCCTCTGTGGTTTCTGCTTTATGTTTACTATGGTTTGATCCCTTTAATTTGTCTATTCCTTGATCTGTTCATGAAAACATATATTTCAACACTTGCCAAAAACGAAACATTTATCAAATATACATTTTTTTTAAGTTCCTGAATCATGACCTTGTTGTTCTTTGTTCTTCTGCAGAAGGTGTTCAACCTATCACTTGGGCTGTTCGGATGAATATTGCAATTGATGTTGCACGGGGGTTATCTTTCTTACATAGTTTAGATGCTAATGTCATCTACCGTGACTTGAAAGCTTCCAACGTTCTACTTGATTCGGTATGCTTTCACATCAAAAGCTCCAGTTTGAGAACGATTGTGCCACTTGTAATCACAAGCCCAACGGAACATTAATCTAATTTATGCAGGATTTCAGTGCTCGGCTATCAGATTTTGGGTTAGCAAGAGATGGTCCTACTGGAGATAATACTCATGTTTCAACCAGAGTGGTCGGAACTCGAGGCTACGCTGCACCAGAATATGTTGCTACAGGTCAGTCTTATCTTTCAATTGCATAGCATCTGTGATATTTTTACTGGTAATCCTGGAAAAAGTAACACCCGCAAACAAAAATTAAGCTACAGAAAGAAAAGAAGGAAGAAAGAAAATGTAATCTTAGCATCATTTTAAAAAGTAAATAAAATTGATGATTTACTCGATCATATGCTAACTTATTTCACTAATTACTAACAGATGACATGCAAAGTAAAACGTATGTATTGAGTAGTTAGAAGGTTCTTTGACAATAAAAATTAGAACAAACAAAAGGAAACTAGGGAATAAGTGTCTAGGATGCGGATGGAACTGAAAGACATTATAAATAAGCGATCCTCTAACTTATAACTATTCAAACATCATGTATTGTGTGGAAACTAGTGCATCCACTAAAGGACATTTTCTTCACTATATGGTTAAAAATGAGCAGGTCACTTGTCGCCAAAGAGTGATGTGTATAGCTTTGGGGTTGTTTTGTTAGAGCTACTATCAGGGAGACGAGCCATGGACGATGAGAGAGCTGGGAGTGTCGAGGAAACATTGGTGGATTGGGCAAAGCCGTTCATAAGTGATAGTAGACGAGTTTCAAGAATCATGGACACAAGGTTGGGGGGTCAATACTCGAAGAAAGCAGCCCAAGCTGCAGCTGAACTTGCCTTACAGTGCTTCCATACAGACCCAAAATATAGGCCACTCATGATTGATGTTCTAGCCACAATGGAACGAATCCACCCAAAGGACACGTTACGAACTCAACAACACAAGTTAGACGATCATGGGGTCAAGCACTTGAACCATCCTCACACGTAACAATTTCAAATACAAAATTGGAATAAATTTGTTTTCCTCATACGTAGAAGGAACTTTCATACTCCATGTATAGACATATATATATGTAGCTACCACAATTGTGCCTTCTAGGTTGATTAGTCGTAAAAACAGACGAAGAGACGCTTTGTTTTAATACTTGCTTCGAGAGATAGTGAGATTGTACAACGTATCACAAGAATTAATAATCTGTGTGTATGTAAAGCTTCCAGTTTTCCTTCCCTCTTAAGGGAACCAAAATTTTGTTTACAACATGCATATGCTTGTTTTTCATTTCAATTTTTTTCTTCGGTATGTGAAGGTTTTTCTTCTGGTACTGATTTCAGTTTTCAAATAAAAAGAAAAGCGAAGCTGTTCAACTTTTCTAGTCCAAGAATCAAAAGAGCAATTGACAGTCCATAGCTTTTTGCGGTTATTTTTTTGGGAGTAAGAATGATTTTTGGGTAAATATCGTTGGAAGTGCCCTAAAATTCAATCACAAGACTGAAAGGTTACAGACATTTTCTATATTAAACTATTTAGTATAGTCAAATGTCAATAAATATTGTATGCAAATGTCTCATAAATAATTATTTGTTTGCACGATAAAGTCAAAGGAATGTCTAATAGAGAGATTGTAATCTAAAGAAGTTAGATATATGAGACTTTTTTCTCTCATACACATATCTTAGATGTTCATGGTTATAGGATTACCAATTGGGCATTGACGGTCCGCTAAGATCAATACATACTATGCGTTCTCTCTTGAGAGAATGACATCTTGAGTCATTAGTGTGAAAAAGACACCAAGACGAGTATGTAGGTGCTCAATAGAAAATGAGTTTACTGAATGTGATCAAATGAGAGTTCTTATTTGGAAATTTTTACTGATATGTCAAATAAGAAACTCTAATGTTGCAATAGTGCAATTAGTCCTTAGCCTTGTGACGAGGGTGCCACTACTAGGAAGAGAGCTATCTAATTCCATCCGTATTACTTCGTGTTAGGATTTACTTTCCCCATGTCGCGTCTTATCCCGAAGGTGATCTGCTCCATGAAATGCACACCTACCCAGTGTTCCCCGAATGCAGCTTGTGCGATGGTGAGGTTCTCAAACTTGAGTAGATTATTTGATCTTGGCTTGACCATAAATGAGTTATGGTACTTCTTCGAAATTGGCCACAAGGAAGGCATAGGGCAGCTGAGGTCTCGTTATAGACTGCTTAATGCTTCTTGCAAAGGCGATCATGAGTGGGTGAGAGACACCTTGGAGGTTAGTGGAGAGTGGGAGTCTGACTCTTCTCCATGAGCTGTATGTTCCGACTGTCTTTATCAATGGTAAGTGAACTGCTTCATTCCTGGCCTGCTTGAATTTTTGTTGAGCTGCTCCATGACTTTAGTTTACTGGTCGTCCTTCTTACTTTATGTAGATTTGGAATTTGGCTCAACTCCAAGGACCTCGGCGGATATGAAGAAAGTGCACATCGCCTTGGGCATTCCTACTGAGTACCATGAATGGCGCTGGCTACTCAGCCATTTTTGTAAGGAGAAAGGCGGGCTACCTCAGAAGGAAGAGATAAAGCGGATAAAGGATGAGGCACTTGCTCATCCGATCGCTACTGTAGAGCCTGTCGCCAACTAGGGTGGAAAAAAGAGATCTTCCTCACTTGCTTGTGAGCCTTTGGCTGAGAAGAAGCCAAAGACTTCTTCTGCTGCTCGCAAGAGCACGTTAGCTGCTGAGAAGCTTGTCATTGACTTAACTTCTCCAAAGATAATGAAAAAGTCTGTTGAGCCTGAGCCTGTAAAACCTACTGCTCCGAATGTGACCACATCCATTGTTGAGAGACTTGCCCAACAAAAAGGTTTGGTGGTGCCCCCGATGTCCGAGTTTGTATCAAAGTGTCTGTCAAGAGCTAAGTCTGGTTCGACTTCTGAGAAGCTTGCCACTATGAAAAGCGGAAATGTGGATTCTGCTGCTAAGTTAGCGTTTGGGCCTGTTCCTCATTCTACTATGACTGACTCGTATGCTGAGAAAGGGAAGTTTGCTCGCACAGGCAATAATGCAAGATCCACCGAGTCTGAGGCTGGTGAGTTTCCCGAGATTTGTGCGTTGCTGAAGGCTGACCTGCTTGAGGATGTTGATGTATGCATCGAGTTCGTTGACAATGTCGGGAAAGTTGCTATCCGCTCATACTCTTTTGCGAAACATCCTACCTACTCGAGAAAGTCCTCATTGATTGCCACAGTGCATAAGACTTTGATCCTGGCAGCTGAGTCTATGCGCGTTGATTAGGATGTTGTCAAGTGTGCTAAGAAGGCCGAAGTGGTGTTGGTGGCCCAGCTTTGTTAGGCAACTGAAAAGATCAAGAAACTCGAATCTGAACTTGCTGTTTTGAAGGGGTCTAATGTCTTTTCCCCCACTCCTATGCAGCTAAAGATCGCTCATCAGGAGGTCGCCCATTTGAAGGTTAAGCTTAGTATAACTTAAGCGATGTTAAAAGCTACAAAAAAGGAAATCAGTTGTGTTTCTCCGATGGTCGAGGACCTTGAGCGTGTCAATTCAGAGCTATGATCTGTTTGTCTTGCCAAGGATGAAGAACTTGTCTTCATGCATGCTGAAGTGTCTTGTCTCAAGGAAGTGGAGCTGCAAGGTGCGTTGTCTGCTAGCGAGAACCTAAGAAAATAACTGGATAAGCTGCAGGGTGTTCACACTAGGCTTGTTGAAAAGAATGAGAAAACTAATCATGAAGAGCTTACTTCTTGTCAGGCTGATTTCTACAAGCTTGGCTATGTAGACCATCTTCAGGGCAGGCCATCTGATTATGAGTTTTCCGAGAAGGACTTCGAGACTTTCTTCATTTTTCTAGTTGATCTGCTTGATTTCTTGTTTGAGGCTACCTTTGGTAGAGCAATTAAGGGTCAAGCAGTCCAGGTATGGGCGGCTGAGGATAAATTGATGGAAGCTTGGGCTGTTAAAAGTGGTGTGGTTGTTCAAGGCCTGGCAATTGAGGAACCAGTGGTTACGCAGGTTGCCAATGAGTAGTCTTTTTGCTTAGACTTAGGAATTTCTTCTTTTCCTTTTTGTTTTGCTTTAGTTGAACTTTGTTAGCTTTCGAGCCGGTTTATAAATTTGCTAGAAATTTAATAAAAAACTTTCCTTGTTTTGCTTCATCTTTCTATTTTGCCACGGTTTTTACAAAACTTTATCCTAGATCAGTCTGCTGGGTGAGTTGCCTCAATGAAGCAGCCGATCCTACGTTGTCACTTAGGTTTTACTTTCATTTTTGGGGCTTCAAGAGCTTTACCTGCAAGAGGAAAAAAATGAGATATTTCTAACTTATAGAGCCAGTGGGTGAACTCGTCGCCTTTGTAGGAAGCAGGCGAGTTCGTGTAGCTACTATAGTTACGAATCTCAGCTTCATATGGCTTCACGAGCCTTAGCCCTCTCGAGGCGTATTGCAACATTTTTAACTTATAGAGCTGGCGGCCAGATACGTGCTGCTCGTAGAAAGCAGATAAGTCCATGTAGCTTCTATGGTCATATTTTGGCTTTGAATGACTTCTCGAGCTTTGGCCCTCCCGGGGTGTGTTGCAAAGTTTTTAACTTATAAAGTCATTAGCCAGACACTTGCTTCTCATTAAAAGCAGAGGAAATCTGCGTAGCTGTTATAGTCATACCTCGGCTTTAGTGGCTTATTGAGCTTTGGCCCTCCTAAGGCGTGTTGCAAAGTTTGTAACTTATAGAGTCGTCGGCTGGACACTTGCTTATCGTAGAAAGCAGAAGAAATCTACGTAGTCATAATAGATGTAAGTCTCGGCTTACGGATTACCTTGGGCTGCCAGCCGTCGAGTCGTTGACCGAGTGTCTTGCTTACAGAAGCAGACAACCCTCGTGACCACTTCAGGCGTCATCCCTGGTTTTCAAAGGCATTTTTGGCGTGAGATGTAGGCGAAATCGCACCTCAGAGGCCATATCTTTTCGAGTTATAACTTGATTATGTAGGTCGTTTAACTAGTATTGCAACATTTTAAAATCAAGCTATGTTCATGAAGACTTGCGCATCGAAGACGGACTATCCAGTCACACGAACTCTTTCATGGGCAGGTATCCTGCACTTAGCGTCTCTTCAGGTTAAAAACCTGGGATCCCGTGGAATTGAATCCCTCAGTCAGCTAAGTTCATTATAGGGGAATAACTATCTTGGCCAATTTTGGGAGTTGTCTGACGTAGGTAGTTGATGCATCAGGGGAAACTAAGCAGTCGTACAACCCATCCACGTCTGGATATTCCAGAGTAGTTTACCTTCTTGCGCTGGAGAGCAGACCCTGATGGGTGTCGAGGAATTAGTTTACCCTTTCACCTTGGAGAGCTTACTCAGATGGGTGTCGGGGGATTAATTTACCTTATCGCGTTGGAGAGCTTACCCATATAGGTGTCGAGAAATTAGTTTACCCTCTATCACTGGAGAGCATGAAAGTGTATACCCAGATGGATATTGAGGGATTGGTTTACCCTTTCGCACTAAAGATTATGGGTTGGTGCGGTGAAGGTCGCGGGATAAGTTTTGGCATAGTTGTGAGCCGTTGTGCATGATAAGCGCAGCTGGAACTGCAGAGCTGACATGGGGCAGAAGATGGTGCTTAACTACCTATATTGTGTGCAATGGGAGACGGTGCTCGACTGCTGGTGCTGGGCTGCTCCATGTATGGAACCATCTAGGTAATGAGGACTAAGCATGCTTTGGATCCCTGGTAATTGGAGGAACTCTCCTGCAAGTTGGGTTGATGCGTCATTCTAGTACTCATTTGCCCCTAGCGTGGCTTTAGGCTAAGTTGTCGCGTTTGTCGGAATGTCGACCAATTTTCGCACCTTTAACATCCTGTAATGTTTTCTCGCACTTCTTCATTCCATTTGTCTCGTTATGCATCCTGATTGTCTTGAAAAAGCTTGCATCAGTCGGTATGTCACGAGAGAAATTGGTTGAGTGTAGTTACTTGTTAGGTCAGACCTTGGATCTCCTTCAAAGTGGTAGGGACTTCATATCCAGGATCACAGATCTTCTTTGGATGTGCATTTTGCGTGGTCTGACTGCTGCTTAGGGTCAAGTGAGATGTGCTTAGTGTTGTCTTCGGGTTTCCATCTTAATTTATTTGCCAGGGTATTGTCGACCTTGACACCATCTTCTTGACCCTTTTGTTGTGGTTGTTATTTGGTGGAGGTAGAACAGTCTTTTTGCACTTTAGCTGATATTGTTGGGACAAAAAACTTCTTCTTCGACTCCTTAAGAACTTGG